ACTGGTAGTGGGGAGAGAGGCCATTCATGAATGGCCCCACCCCCATCAATGAGCACCATGTTCTGGAACTGTAGAGGGTTGGGTGGCCCCTCCCAACTTAAGGAGTGTCTGAGGCTCCACACCCCAATTTTAACCTTCCTTTCAGGAAAAAAAAAAAAAAAAAAATTGCTTTGTCAAAACTGTTTGTAGAAATATTGAAGTAGGTGATAATTGGTCTTCTTTTGAACCCAATGGCAAGAGTGGAGGTCTTCTCTTTTTTTGGCACTCTTCCATTAAAATTATTTAGAACCACAAGAACTCTTTTTGTTTCCAAGTTAATTTCTGGGATCTTATTTTGCAATCCTCCTGCTGGGGCATCTTCATTTATGCCAGCACAGATCAGGCCACTAGAGTTGAGCAGAGAGAGTTCATCTTTCAAGAAAAGCATAATTTGGGCAACTATTGGTTTATAGGGGGATTAGAACGAGATTTCATGTGTTGAGGACAAGAAGGAAGGTAACTCTAGAGCTGATTCATACTTCAGGAGCTTTAATGAATTCATTCATAATCTAGGTGGTCAAGACCTAGGACTTATGGGGCACCCCTTCACCTGGGAGAATTGTAGATCAAAGGAGAACTTTGTGGAAGAAAGATTGGACAAGGTATTTGCTTCCATGGACTGTTCAGCCTTTTATGCCTCAACCCAAGTGCACAACATCTTCAGATCATCATCAGACCACAGTCTTTTCCTTTTGAAAGCTCAACCTATTCAGAACTTCCCCAAAAAGAGATTTCTTTTTTACAAAAGGTGGCTCTCCAGACCTGGTATACATGATGTTGTTGCTACAACTTGGTCATCTTCATCAGATGGTACTTCTATGTTTAACCTCCAAGCAAATATCAAGAGCACTAGAGTGAAAATTCTGAAATGGAGCAAAGATTTCAACTCTGAAAGGAAGAAGAAGATCCACAATCTTCATAAAATTTGGAGCAACAAAGAACCCTTGCTGATAACAGAGACTGGAACTTGTAGGGAGAATGCAAAAGAGAGCTGAATATGGAAAATCTCCAAGAAGAACAGGTTTGGAGACAGAAGCCCAGAATCACTTGGCTTCAACAAGGAGACAAAAACTCCAAGTACTTCCATGCCCACACTGCCAAAGAAGAAGGATTAACAATATCACCAAGATCCTCAAAGAAGATGGTACACCGTGCTCCACCCCAGAGGAGATCACTGGCTGCATTAAAGATTTTTACTCCCATCTGTTTTCCTCAGAAGGATCTTCTGGTAGCAACAATCTGCTGAATAACATCCACCCAGACATTACTACAGACATGAACACTGAGATATTAGCCCTGGTGGATGAGACTGAAATTATAAAATCTCTCTTCAGCATTGATAGCAACAAAGTCCTGGTCTTGATGGTATGACTTCCTCTTTCTTCCAGAATTTTTGGGACATTATTAAACTTGATTTTTGTGCATCTGTGTCTAGCTTTTTTAAGTCTAGCAGAATCATACTCTTATTACCCTTATTCCTAAAATCCAAAATCCTTCTTTTGTTTCTCATATAGGCCTATCAGCCTTAGTGTTTTATATAAGACTATCTCTAAAATCCTAACTAATAGGCTTAAAAGATGGATGCCCCTTTGCATTACTGACAGCCAATCAACATTCATTCCAGAAAGGCAAATTCTTGATAATGTTATTATTGCCCATGAATCTTTAAATTTTCTTAATAGGCATAGATCTGACAACTCTTTTTACATGGCTACCAAGTTAGACATGTCTAAAGCTTTTGATAGGGTAGAATGGCCTTGTATTAGCCAAATTCTCTATAAATTGGGTTTTTATTCCTCTTTCATTAATTGGATTATGTCACGCATATGTTCTACTTGCTTTCCCTTTAATATTAATGGGGCTTCTAAAGGTTTTGTTAAAGCTAGCAGGGGTATTAGACGAGGGACCCACTGTGCCCCTATATAATTGTTTTGATCTAGAAATTTTTTCTAGCTTGATCAAAGAGCAAGTTTCTAATGAGAAATGGAAAGGGCTAAAAATCAGCAAGAATGGCCCTAACCTTACACATATCCTTTTTGCAGATGACACCTTGCTTTTCTCTCAAGCCTCTATTGATCAAGCTCTTCTTTTGTTGGATATTCTTAACAAATACCATCTTTTCACTGACCAGCTTGTTAACCTTTCTAAATCCTCTATTTTCTTCAGTAAAAACACTCCTCCTCTCATTCAGGATCAAATCTGCAACACTCTCAATGGCATCTCAGTCCATTCTTCTTCTAAGTACCTAGGGCTGCCTATGGGTTTGGATAAATTCAAGATTGATACTTTTGCATATGTGGAAAAATCAATCAAAAACAGAATATTGAACTGGAAAACCAAGTTTTTGTCCACTGCAGGTAAAGAAGTTCTTATCAACTCTGTGTTGAATGCCCTGCCCATCTACACAGTAACCTGCTTCCTTCTTCCTAAAACCACTAAAGTTAACATTGACAAAGTTGTAGCAGAGTTCTGGTGGAGTAATGGAGAGCATAAGAAAAGCATTCACAATAAATCTTGGAGTATCATCATCTTACCTAAGGAACAAGGGGGCTTGGGCTTCCAAGACATTCATATCATGAACAGAGCTCTAATCACCAAGCAAATCTGGAGGATCTTATCAAAGCCCAATCTTCTTGTCAGCAAAGTCCTAAAGGTAAGATACTCCCACAGAGACAGCTTCTTCACTACCACCAAGAAACAAAACAACTCATGGCTATGGAATAGCTGGCTTGAGGTGAGAGACTCTCTTATTAAGAACCCTCAACATGGTGGGTTAAGATTTGCAATCAGCCGTGGTAGGAGAATTAACATCTGGAATCAACCATGGATCCCCTCTATTCCCAAGATCACCAGTAGACAATCTCAGAGCAGCCTAACCTGGGTTAGTGAACTCATTGATGAGACTGGAAGGAATTGGAATATTGACAATCTCCATTCTACCTTTTCTTCTGTGGAAACTGCAGTTATTCTCAAAATTAAGGATCTTGATCCTAATGGAGGGGATAAACTGATTTGGGTTGGAGCAAGCAAAACCCTTCTCAGTCTCTTCTGTTTACTCAAGCTTAATGAAAAAGAAATGGACTGCTCTGGACATTGCTGAGAGTAGCAATAACCAAAAGGCTATTGCTGGAATGAGAGGGAGAAGTTGGTCACTCAAAAATCAACGAAAATTAAAACAAGTTCTTTGAAAATGTATTACTAACACCCTACAGTAGCAGGTAATCTCTGGAGAAGGAAAATGGCACTGACCCTAATTGTGAAAGTTGTGGTGAAAATGTGGAAACAGTTGAACATCTCCTTCTGAATTGCCCCATCTCTTCTAAAGTTTGGAAATTGTCTCCCTTGTGCTGGGATGGACAATCTCTGGATTCTTCTTCTTTCAAAGCTTGGTGGACTCAAATCTGCTCCCTTAATCATACCTCCTCATCTAATGACAGGCTCCAACTCTCTGTGTATATTTTGTGGGAAATCTGGAAAGCAAGGAACCTCTGGATTTTTCATAATACTAAAAAGTCTGAAGTTTTTATTGTGCAATCTGCTCTTAGTAACTGGAATGAATTGTCTGCCTCTCTCTCCTCTCCCACTAGTTGATATTCTTCTGCTCAGTTCTCTTGGAGGATGTTGTTGTCTGCTGGTTTTCATTGTTGGTTGTTGGAGGCTCTAATTGGTGATTCTCTGGCTTTCCTTTTTTTCTGAGGTGTTTGTTGCTTCTTGACTGTTTGGATTTTTCTCTGTTGTCTGGCTGTTCTCCTTGGATGTAGATATTGCTGCTGGTGGTTGTTGTTTCTTGGTTGTTTTGGACTTTGCTCAGCTGCCTTGCTGTTGTCCTTGGATTTTGCTGTTGGTTTCTCTTGATGCTCTAGTTGTTCTGTCTTTTTTAGCAGTATTTAGTTCTTGTTTGGTTTTTGTTTTTTTGTTCTTTTGTTTTCAGTCTTTGTTCCTTTGTCTTTCTATTTTGGGACTTTGTGAGATGCTTCAACTAGGTCATTTAAGGCAGTGGTTGTTGCTTTTGTTTTCTTTAAGTCTGTCACTTCGGCAGCAAGGCATAACGATTCTACTCCTTGGACCCCTTTGCTAGTCAATGCCGGGAGAAGATTTTTATACTTTTCTTTGTAGGCTTTAGTGCACCTTAGTGTGCCACTCCGGTTTCCTTTTGGAATATTGTATGGGTTTCCAACCCGGATTGTTTATCTTTGAGCTATGAAATCTATCGTTTCGAAAAAAGAAAAAAAAAAGTAATGAAAAGACGTAGTATATTTATTAGCTAGATGAAGGTAATAATGAGAAAATATGTACAAAATATCCAAAACGGCATTTTTTTGTTAATAGTTGATAATGCCAAAATAACATTTAAAAAGAATAAAAGGTAGTATGTAATTATAAGATCGCGAGATTTTGAGACATGGCAAATTCAAAATAAATCCAAACGTAACTAAATGTTTTAATTCATAATTTTTCATGTCCAGCTTCCGACACACTTTGTGTCGTATCTTACTATGTGAACAAGGGACAACTACCTGTGCCCATACCGCGATGAGCTTTGCGAGACAATAGAGGCAAGAGAAATGCCATGTCTTGCCCAGATAAGCTCGGGCTTTTTAAAAAAACTCGTCCTACCAAATCAAGTTTATTTATATACCAAATTCTTATAAGCTACCTCAAATAAACTATAAACTAATCTATAATGTTTACCATGCACTCTTAACTCTTAAAAGTCACAAAACTCAAATGCCTGTGTCAAAGCAAAAAGATTACAAAAACAAGTATTCAGGTGGAATGAACAAAGGCTTTAAATGTGTCCATATGAAAACGGAAGCAAAGATTGACTAAACCCTCAAAACGTGGCATACAACGCCGTGCAGAAGAGTGGCTTTTAAATAACAGCCTGAAAACAAAAAGAATCACTAGAGAAGAATACTCGGTAATGGTAATGATGAATTTGACATCAGTACTAATATCGATCAGCAAGCGCAACCACCTTGTTGTTCTGTTTCCGTAACAGCCTCTGGCATGCCCTGGAAGTATCTGCAAATGCAAAAATTTATATAAATTATTTTGAAAAAAATAACAAATGAGCTTATTAGACTTAAAAAACCGTTTTCATGGCATCACGTTACATTTCAGAATCGAAAATAAAATTTCGGTCATGTCAACACAACTACATGGATACCAAATGAGTCATGCAAAATCAAATCAAAACAAGAAAAAAAACTTAGTGTTTGTTCAACATAAGTCGGTATCAACTAGAAAACTAAGGAAGCAATACAGTCCTGGAATAGTGGTCCAATGGCTTGGATCTTAGCTTGTGTAGCCCTCACCTACTTACCAGTTTTGCAAGTCACAATTTTCGACTAACAGATTTAAGAAAAATTATTTATCTTGAATGTTTGTAGTTTTGGCACAAGTACAAATTCCAGATTAAGAAGGATGATAGCAGAGTACTATCTTCGGTTTCACAATAAAAATGCTGCAAATTTAAATCTTCCATGTCTCACTCACATGTCTTGGTCATTTTCATTGGCTAGAGCAGCCTTTGCAATGCATAAGAATGCAGGGTCAACATTGTAGTCCTCTTTTGCTGATGTCTCAAAGTAAGGTATGTTCCCTTTTGAGGCACACCATTCCTTTGCTTTCTTCTCAGATACCTGAATTTAATTTAATCAGAATCACGTATGATGGTTATATAAAACTTATGCCGAACAACAAAAGATTGTCACCATCTAATAGCTAATAGCTATAGCCTCACCACTCTGCTATTGCCACCATCTATATCGATCTTGTTTCCCAATAATATAAAGGGAAAGGTCTTCGCGTCAGGTGGATTAGCCTGAATCATATGAAAAAAAAATGTCAAATTTACAGATAGGCAATGAAATTACCAGTCTAATAGTTAGCAAAGAAAAGACCATAAACGAAACATGATTTGTAGGATTTGGGCTAGTAAAAAATAAAAAATCAATCTTTTGCGTTTAACAGACTGTAACAGTGTAATAGCTATAGCCTCACCACTAGAACATGTAACCGTTGTCATTTTTTTTTATGTATTAAATCCCGTCTCGAACTAAGGTCAGTAAAGTCAGCACATGAATTATTTATTACCCCAAGGGGAAGGTAATATTATATACAAGGCACAATCCTATTGCCCTGCCAAAACATTAAATACAGTTTTTCAGACTTTACAGATGCATCATAATTCCACAAGTATAAAACATATATATATATATATATATATATATAATTATATATATATATATTAGGGTATCTTGGGTCGCTACGGAAACAACCTCCTTGTATAATTACAAGGGTAAGGTCTGTGTACATCTGACCCCCCAGACCCCAACCAGTTGGGAATATACTGGGTATGAAAAAAAAAAAATATAGTTAGGGTATGAGCTACTTGATTCAGTTTAATTTAGCAAACTTCCAAACAAATAAATAGAATCCACTAACAGAACATGAATGCAATGTTATCAATGGCGGATAGCAGAAAGTGGTGAAAGGCCAAAATCCTTCCATAATGGTCACCATGGCATCACCATAACTGCCATCCTACACAATTTTCTCATTCAAGTTAGGCAGAAATCCACCACGCCATTCCACCATGGCCACCATTAGGTAACACTGGATGAATGTAGATACATTTTTCACATTCCCCAAATAGTATTGTACCCACAGTTCGCGACAAGGGCTACTTTTCATGTAATATAGATCAACCGGAAATCATTTCACATCGATGTCTGAATGCAACAAAACAGAAAACATGCTCGGGCCAGCCTACTTTTGATTGCAATTAATTGTACATTCTTTTCATACCTATAGCACATCGAAAACAGAGCATGTAAGCTCATAGTTCACAATGCAGTTCATCTCCAACTATTCTCCAGACAGTTAGCAAAATCTGAAGTAACTACCATTAAGTAAACCAGGAAGAAGACAAGTCATAACGGAAAAAGTCAACAAATAGATAGTCTGCTTGAAACCCTGAACTCTGGTTGATAACATCCACAAACCAAAGATGTCGTATGCATGGCAAATGGTATGGGATAAATGCTACCACAGGTACAGATATTACTAAAATGGTCAACTCAAATGACCACATAAGTAAATATGAATTAGAATAGTTTCATCCTTGATGATATAAATCATTAACAGAGCCAACAGCATTTTGTGACCCATGCATTCACAATTTTATTGAGCAATAGCCCCTGGCCTAGATGCATGAGTAAAATGGATTATAAAAGAATTTTCAGTTCTATTTCGTACTAAAGCTTCTAGTTTGCAACCTTTATTTATTATTTATATTAACAAATGAAATAGACCTATTATACACAATAAAATGAGATCAAGAGAACGAATTAATTGAGTTAAACAAGTGACCTACGTTGCAGTCATACAATAATGTACAAGAAAGTTGCAATATTTACATACGCATAAAAATGAACGGTAAACGAATGATTGATAAATGTATCATTAAGTTTTACCTAATTAGTAATTACAGGATGACAAGCATCCACTTAAACTTTGCTTTTATTAAGGGCTCATTATTTAAATTGGAAACCACTATCCAGGGGCTATATAGATTTTGAAAAAACACTGGTATATAAATTACACTATGTTAGAGAAAAACCAGGTAATTTTTGTAACTAACTAAACCTTCTTTAACCAGTAACTATATCACTTTCCCAATAAAACCAACTATGCATATACACATTTGTAAATGTGTTGCTGCGAAAATCAATTTGAATCTAAAATTATTCATTCTTGTCACGCATACACATACAAAATCTACACAGCAAGTGCACAAATCCAATTCAGATGTAGAAAAACTAAGACAATATTACACTTAACATAAGGCAATATCACACTTAAAAAATGAGCGATTAAACAATAAAACGCACTAAACAATAAAAATGCACACTAAAAAGCTCATACGTCAAGCACATTTAACTCTGACAAGAGAGTGACAGGCTGACAGCTATCATTTCCATCCATAAAACTTCCACAACTCAGCAGCTCTTCTCTGAGAAGAGTATCTAACCTCAAATATGCAATTCAAAAACTTCCAACAACAGCAACACAAGATGTTCGTCCTGACAAAACCGGATAATACTTTTTTTCTCCAACAAAGACCACAAAAGCAGCAACTAATCCATATTATGAAAAATAAAAATGAAAAGATTACCAACCTGCTTGAGAAATTCCTCATGCCAGTTGTCGAGGGTATCAAATGACCTCATAACATTCACGTCATATACCAGAACACAGCAATCCGCACCTCTATAGAATGCAACTCCAAGACTTTGAAATCTCTCTTGGCCAGCAGTGTCCCAAATCTGCCAAACCCCAGATGCAGGCTCAGCTCTTAGCAAGTAAACGGTCAAATTTGCCAAATTCACACACATAAAATAAAATAAAAACAAATTTCCACTATACGAAACAGGATAAAATCAACCTGAAGCGTGACGAGGCGATCATCTATTTGAAGTTCCTTGGTTACGAAATCAGCACCAATTGTAGCTTTGTACTGCTGACTGAATTTCTTGTGCACATATCTATTTGCTCAGTTAAAGAAACCCCCAACAAATATTTTAAATCATCACGAAAAAAATCTAATAGCAACATCAACAATTTTCACCCACCTCAATTTTGTTTTTTCAAAAAAGAAAAAAAAAATATCTATTTTATCAGCCAGATCAACGCGAACAACAAATGAAGAAGGATACTGGTTCATCAATGACGTTTTGCCCACACTGGAAAAAAAAAAAAAAACAACCAAACAAAAACTGCATAAATACACATTAACAACCAAATCCTAGCTCAGAATCCATCAATCAGATCTCAGAAAATAACAACACAGTACCCGCTGTCGCCGAGCACGATGACTTTGAGCAAAGTTCGCCTGCGCGACGACATTTGATACCGGCGGTGAAGCTAATGCTGAAGATTTTCGTTTCTGAAGCTTTTCCTCACTTAAGATTTGAGAAGAAAATTTTGTGCGTTTGGGTGAAAATGTGGGGTAGATGAAAAGAAGGAACAAGAAAATGGGGCGCCAATTTCGATCTGAATCAGTGTCCCAGACACCATCGAGTATTTTGACCCTTTTTTAAGTTATTTTTATGCCTATTATGTTTTTGGTGTTTTATATTATGAATATTTTATTTCTAATAAAATACAAAAATAATTTTGTTTTTTCGTTTTTTTTTTTTTGTTAAAGAAAAAAACACCCGAAGAGTGGGGGATTAAAGTAAAATCCCAACTTGTATTTAGTCAATACCCTAATTCGGCCGAAAAAATCACAAATCTACACATGTCCGAACAAACGAAAACAAAGTAAAAAAAGAAAGGAGAAAAAATGAGAAAAACAACAATCAAAATGAAGAGTCTTTACCTGGGCTAGCATGTTTGTGGTAAGACGGTTCACCTATAACCAAAAGGTTGCGGGTTCGAGTCATCGAGGAGGGAAAGCAAGAACACTATTGATCCTCCTTAATTAAAAAAAGGAAAAAAACTGGCTGACAGGTGACAAGGAAAACAGTCTGCACCACAAAGTGGGCTAAAGCACACAAAAAAATAAACAAACAGGCTACCGAAATATGAAAGAGGGGTATTTATCCTGATTCGCCCGCACAAGAGTGCGGAGGCATAGAGGGGCGTCGTTCGGGTAAAAAATGTGCCTCTGGAGAATGGAGGCACCAAGCTGGATAGATAGTCAGCGGGTCGGTTCCCCTCGCGAAAAATGTGTGAAATCCGGTAGCAAACCGACTTAAGAGTGGATCTGATGCGCATGAGCGGGTGTTGAATATGCTACGAGTCCTGGCGGCCTAAGGTCAAGAGGGTGGCGACAGAGGCAACACCCAACTCAATCCAAATGTGAGTGTAGGTAGAGGCTGCAATCTAAAGACTAATATGAAGCGCATTGTTGTAAATATTTTTACCGGAGTAGAATCAAAAGATTCGAACACCGGGTCGTATCACGAGGAAGGTTAGCTGGATTATTTTGCACGTATATTCAAACACACGAAATGAGAAACAAGACCTAAACACTCTAATTCAAATAGATGGTCTGATTTATCAACTACGAATAACAAGAACAAGATTATTTATTTCAAATTCGCAATTCAAAGTTTAGATTCAAATGGTATAGACGGACTAGGGTGTCGGGGACAATCGTTTCCGGTTCTCAATACATTAAACGGGCAATTAACTACTCAGCTAATGAACAAGCAATAACCAATTCATCTAGAGATTTATTCTCAATATCTCACGAAACAAGAGAATAAACATAAACGAGCAATTATCGAATTCATTAACATATAGACAATACGTTACCGAACAAGTCTATTCTAAACAAGCCGAGGTCGATCAATTTCTCCCCTTTCGGTTCTAAAATCGATTAAATAGATTAAATGATGATCAGACATTCAACCCTAGGTTTAGCCTAACTCATCTAGATCGAGCAATCAACATTCACATAAATGAAATTGAACCAGAACAATTATCCCCTAACCCTAGTTATCGAATTTAGCTACTCATGATCGATTCAACATCAACACATTCATCAACCCAAGCAAACATCATCATATCAAATAAGAAAATGAGTGCTTACGATTAATTTGAATCCAATGTTGAGAAAGACAACGAATAACCGATTCCAAAAGCTAGAAGATGAGTTCTTAACTCTCAAAATCCAATCCCAAGTGAAAATCCAAGAGAAAAAAGTGTTTTTGCCATGAAAAATGAACATAAAACAAGTCTGGAATGAATAATGACTGCCCTAAGCTCGATCTTTTACTTTCCAATTAGAAAATCCAAGAATTCCGTGGTTGTTACGAAAATAGGGATTAGCGGCGCTATGGGGATAGCGCCGCTATGGTTGGAACATTCGAGCTGCAGCCCATCGCTATGGTACGAACCGTCGCTAGTCAAGCTGGGCATAGCGGCGCTATGGTCATAGCGCCGCTATGGTCTGGCTGCTCTAATAAAAATCTATGTCTCGGGCCACGTGCTCTCGGTTAGCGTCCCTCGGGTCTATCTCGAGCTAGAAACTTAATGCACAAATGCTCCAGTCTCATGAACCGACGCAGAACACCTGGGAACCTGAAAACACCACCATCGAACACACACAAAAGCAAGAGAAAATAGAAGAAATAACAACGAAAATGCTAAACACAACGAAAAAAAAAAACTAAAAACTCGAGAATGACTAAAAAGGACCGGAAAATCCTAACAAAAGACCTAAAATGGGGGAAAACAACACACAAATAGCAACGAAAATAGCAACAAAAACAGGACAAACAACTCCCCCACACTAAGACCCTTGTTCGTCCCGAACAAAGAAAAGAAAAGAAAAACAAATAAATGAGCAACGACAACGGTTCAAGCAAGACTAATCCCAAACCAATCAATCAAATGAGAAGAATTCCAATGATCACCAGCGCATACCTCAACTAGTAACTCGGTTATTTCGAAAGACAAAGACTCTCAAGAGCGAAAATATATCATATGCCTCACTCGGTTCTTTTGAAAATATAAAATAGGTACGCTCAAGTTGGTCGTCAATCAAATCAATCATAAGTTTGCCTATTGTCTAACTTTTACTCTGAAACAATCAAATTCGTGAAACAATGAATCAAGAGGACTTTTAGGGATGTAATGTAGGCTCTTTGGATCGGGTAGGATACATATAGGTTAAGTGGCTCAGATAAAAACATATTCAACTCAATTCTATCACCAAACCGTAGTCATGAACTCTTTCGGTTGTCGAATACCAACCGGTTCCTCCCTACTACTCCAAAACCAACACACTTCCCAAACGATTTTTTTTTTCGAGAACCATTTGGACATTTTATCTAGGTTTAACCTTCGAGTTTTCTGCTCGAGTCTCCTAGACCAGTTTCCCGTACTCATGGCTCGTATCCGCTAAATTAGTGGACCGAGCGCTAGGAGTATAATCCATTTGGCTCCTTTTTTTTTTATCAAATCAAATGAACGTATTCACAGTTCAATCAACCAACACCTCCAATTCTCAACCCACAACTCAATATCATCATCATGAGGTTAACAATAAAATCATATAAGGCTCAAAGGGGATGACTAGTGACTGTTATTCATAGAAAAGAGAAGGAGAAGAAAATACAAGGAATGCCTCAATCATTTTCACGTTTCACAAATCTAATCACATTTCAAAGTAGACTCAAGGGAAACTCTGACTGAATAAATTTCAAACCAACATCTCACAAGAACAAGTATGGCTCAAACCTCACAAGGTATATAAAGTCAATCAAAATAACCAAGTTATTCATCAAGATATGCTACCAATTCTCATCATCACAACCACTCCACTCAACTGACAGTCATTAATCAATCTTACAATTCACCAAGTCCAAGCTCAGAAAGACAAAACAAATAAAATCCTAAAAACTAGACCGGTCCACCAAGCAAGAGAAAAGAAATAAAAACAAACCTAAAAAGAAAACTAGACTTGGTCCACCACATAGTCACGTAAGCACGTAAAACTCCCCCACACTTAAAATCAGACAATGTCCCCATTGCCGATTCGAAGTGAAGGAAAGTTTGACCATATAATAAACCGACTCGAAAACAAAGAAGCTATACAAAAATAAAAGAGAAAAAGAAAGAAAAATGTACAAAGCACAGTGACAAGTCACTGTGCATTCGGCGGTGGCGGTGGCGGATGCTGGTATCGCTGGGCCTCCCAAGTGTCCCATCAGGCGTCGTGGGCAGTCCAGTGCGCCTCGTTGTTCCACTTGAACTCATTCCACTCCATTGTATGCTCCGCCCAACGCTCGTCGTTGGTCGCCAAGAAGGACTTCCAATGGGCTGCATTCTGCTCCGTGTAGGTCTTCCAACGCGCATCGTGGTGCTCTATGTATGACTCGAGCCGCACATTGTGCAACGACACCTCGGCGTGGATGGCTCGATACTGCTCGTCATTCCGGGCCTAGTTATCATCATACCGAGCCTGGAACGTGGAGAACCAGGCGGGAGGCTGCTGTGAAAATGTGCTCGGGTGCCCGTCCATCGACGGGGGAGGCTGATAAGTATCATGCTCGGGATATGCGTCGGCCTCCGAGTCCTCATCGTCTCCATCATGAGAGGCCGCTGGGGCTGGTCCGGTCGACGTGCCGGCTGCCGACTGATCCTCGGGTAAAGGTATGACCATTTCCTTACAATAGGCCTTGTAGTAATCTCGCTCGCGGACGGGAATAACAGCACCGTCGGGCTTAAGGAAATGCCCATGATAGAGCTCCCGATGAGAAATCGAGCGGGCAAGGACCTTTGGCTCGTCAATATCAACCCCAAAGTGCTCGGCAATCTTGGATACGACATTTCCCAATGTCGGTCCATGCCTCGGGTCGTTGCGCACATCGAAGAGGGACTCCTTAAGATACTGCAGCATACTAACCGACTTGTCCCGCGAAATCGACCATATGATGAATACCTGCTGCTCACTCACTTTGTTGGACTCCTTCTTGCCGAAAATCATGTGTGAAATATATTTGTGGATCACGGCATGAGCCACATCGGATAGTAAGCCCGAAGAAGCCCCGTCTCTCTTGAATTTCTCGCATAGGGAGATGGTCGGCCAATACGGGTCGGCTTTCCATCCCATGGGGCCTTGACGAGTCCCGATGGAGGCTTTGAACTTGTAAATATCCCGGAGTACTTTGTCGGTGACCTTGTACTCTTGCCCCTTTAGCCGAGCGGTGAGGTACTTGCCATTGTCGTGCATGGCAACCGTGCTAAAGAATTCATGGGTCAAATTCCGGTAAGCATATTGCTCCATGTTTTCGAATTCTACAAGGTCGAGCAGTGTAATGTAATGGCAGAGATCGTCCTTGATGCCCAAAGTCGCAAAGTATTCCCAGTCGAGGGTGCGTGGAGCCGCAAAT